TAACACATACAACACACACACACACACACACACACACACACACACAAAAATTAAAAATATTACAAAGATATTCTACATTTAATTACAGATCATATAGTGTAAACAATATATTAGTGACATTTTCTGGTAGTATACATATTTAATATAATGATATATCTTCTAGTAAAATAATAAATAATATTATATAGTTTTAGAAATATCTGATACTTTAGAATAAATTCTTTTTATATTATTTAATGTATAATACCAATTTTTATCCAAAATTTTATATGTACTATATACAAAAAACATAGTTAACATAGTTAATTAAAACTTAGGATTTTTTAATATTTCTATAAATTATAATATATTACCTTCCATACATTCATTAATACTTTCATAATCAGAGTATGTTCTTGTTTCCGGTCTAACGCCAGGTTGTACTAATAGTATTGTATGAGACTAAAATCAAATAAAATAGAATTAAATAGTAATGAAAACTTTAGAAACATTATTATAAGTATATATAAATATAACTGATTAAACATATCTTCGATACCTCATTAGAGTTATGTAAAAAATTATAGATAAAGAAATAAATATGGTTTTGTAATATTAGAAAGATATTACATAATTTTTGTAATTTCTTCATTTTTATATATTACATTAGTATAGTATAGAAAAATTTATAATTTATCATTTAAGTCATTCACATTAATTATGATTTAGAAATGTGATTTAAATAATCAGAAAAATGTATTTTTATGTTATTTACAAGCTATCGTCATTATTAATATATAGAATACAAGTTTCATCTTTTTTTATAAATTAGTGGAACATTAAGTTATATAAATTGATAGAACAAAAATTATATCTATAATATTAAATTAAGTAACTTTATTTTTCAATTTTTATTTATCGAAATTTAAATAAAAATCAAGCTCAATAATTTCAATTATGCTTTTTTTCAAATTTTGTTCACATTAAATATAAATAACAGACTGAAAGCATTTTTAAATATTAATACACAATTATTTTAAATATTTCTTATAAATTCATTTCTTATTTATTTTTAATAGTAAATTATAACAATCTATTCAGGAATTATAAAAATTTCGCAAACTCGAAATAGTACATTTAGAATTCATTATTTTTATCAGTTTATGATGGAATAGAAAAGATGCAAAAAATTTTGTGAATGACAAATGACAATGTTACTCAAAAACACATAAATACAATAAAACTGAATAGAACTGAATATAAACGTAGAACGATAAATTCGTTAAGCGACGCTTAACAAATTGCTTACCATTTTTATTTATATATGAATTATTGATGAACGAGCAAACGACAACCCCTGGAGAGAATAATTCGGATAGCGGAATATTCTTTTAAGGAACTTGGAAATATAAACTAGGAAATATATTATCTATCAGAATTAAACGCAAGCAAAATCACACACAACGTTATGCAGACGAGTACGAGTAATACTCGGTAGACAGAAAGAGAGACTCTCCAATAACATTCGATAGCACAAAGGCCAGTCTACATAAAAGCTTTTATCAGAGAGAAGCCTGAGGGTACATATTACATTTGTCGTACGACAAATTTTTTAAGCGTATTGATTGGCTGCAGGATGAAAAGTTTCTAAACACCAGAGAATTGCTCTATTCTACGGCCAATCAATATGCTTAAAAAATTTGACGTACGATAAATTGTAATATACGAGAGTAGTCACAGCCACAGTTCGGTATAAAGCTGGATACACAATGAAAAACACAGGTAACAGGGAATAGGAAATATCTCCGATATTCTTTATAGCTTGTGATTAGTCGAAATCTGTTGTCTATTGCTATTCTCCTGTTTTTTGTACCTTTTTATTGTGTCTCAGATTTAAGCACACGAAAAAAAACTTAGGCCTGTTCTATAATGCGTCGTGTGTCAGTGTCGTGAGTCGTGGGCCATAAGAATGAACCAATTACAATCAAGTATTCTCCCCACATTTGTCTGTGATTGATCAATTCTTATGGCTTGCGGCTTGCGACACTGACACACGACGTATTGTAGAACAAGCCTTAAGCAGTAAGATTTAAGCCCATCGCACATGCACATGAAATTCATAATAATGCATAAACATAGTATAAAGCTGCTGGACCAATGAGCATCCAAAATAAAGTCGCTATATTGATTTATTTAACATGGTATAAACATAAAGCTGGATGCACAATGAAAAAATACAGGCAATAGGAACAGGGAATAACATAGGCAACAAATTTCAGTCTATGGGAAACCTTATATCAATGCCATATATGAAATATACATAGACATTTATATTTATATACTAAACCGTTAACTTGCCTCAAATACATGGTCCCGAAAAGCATATATAAAACTCATGCGCATGCGTATGAAGAAAGAGGGACACGCATGCGCATGAAAGTCTAATATATGATCTATA